ACGTAGCCCTGCAAGATAAAATCAAATGGCGTGAAATTGATTGATTTAGCGATTTCAGACTATTGTACATATTCACGTCGATCAATCTATCAATTTCGAAATAAAACGTTAAAATAATTTTTTACTATTTATGCGTAAAGTAGAGATGTATCATTTTATTGAAATTACATTGTGCGTTTTATTTGCAAAAATCAATCTTCTAAAGAAGTGGCAAGTAATTCTACAGAAAATTCAAATATCTAACACTATTGAGCGCGTATGATTAAAAAAATAGACCAATAATTCTGTCTTCAAAAATTCCGCACCAAACCTTAAAGCTCTAGTAATGTTGGTGATCAATCTGTCGCGTCCAATGGGGATTTTCAACTGATCAATAATGACAAATTGTAACGGTTTAATATCAATAAAATGTAGCTTCATCACTAAAAAGAATTCTGGAAAAAAATTTGGTCATTTCTCTAATTGCTATATTCAGTGACAAAAACGCCATTGATTTATCATATCTTGCCCACTTAAGGGATATGTCCACAGTAAAATTTTCAAAAAAGAGAAAATTGTTTTTTTTTTTGTTTAAACGGTACTTTATTTTCGTAAAAATAAGTTGCAATTTGATTTATAGCGAAAAAAATTTTTTAACGAAGTTAGAGGGAACACTGTAAGATACGACACAGGGTCGTCAAGCGTATCGGTGCGCGCTGTGTCGCGAATTAAGTAAAAATGAACTGCTTATTTATTGTTTAGGGGGTTACCAAAAATAGTAACGAAAGTTTTAATTCAATTGTATAGAGCTCGGGTTTTAGGGCTATCGCACACAAATTGACATAACTGCATATGCATAGCATAAGACCGTATGTACCAATGAGCATCGAGTATTAAGTCGCCATATTGGTGTTCGATGCTTAATATTCGATGCTCATTGGTCCATACGATCTTATGCTATGCATATGCAGTTATATCAATTTGTGTGCGATAGCCCTTAGTCTCAGCCTTGCAAACCGCGCTATTTTTCTCACTCTGGAACAAAAAAATACGCAGATTTCAAACGCACGGCATTCCACCGTCACCTAGTACATCTTCCTCTTTCTATAGTAGAATATCATGTGTTGCAAATTTAAGCATACAGTTGGTGTAGAAAGTATTCGTACACCGATCAATTTTAAATTAAACATTGTATATTTATGTCAGTTATAAATTTTCTCAAGAAAATGATAAATAAATATTTTTGGGTGTTTGTAGAATAGATTTTGTGTAAAGAAAATTTTATTATCTTCAACGGTTGCAAAAATATTAAGAAAAACAAACAAATGTGCAGAAATTGACGCGGAGAAAGTATTCGTACATCTCTTATTTTTCCTACTTAAATCTGATTTTCTAAATGTAAATACAACATGACTTTCTAATTATAAGGAATAATAACAAAGCCTGTCAGTTTACGCAGAGTACTGGTAAAGTCAAGACAGAATTTTCATTGGGTCGCAAAGGTGTTGAAACAACAGAAGAGGAACGAAAAATTATTGTTAGGTTACATAATCAATGTAAAACGCTTAGAGAAATTGCCTGTATAATAAATAGATCAAGATCTACTGTTCAGAGTATTATTGATAGAGTTGGATTGCGAAAAACAATGCAAAATAGTAGAAGATCTGGACGTCCGCGAAAGGGGTGTATATCAGTTGGACACAGGGCAATTGGACACAGTCCAATCACAAGTCGCTGTTCCAAGGGACCCTACAAATGTCTCTAATCACACGGTGCTGTGATTGGCTGTGTCCAAATGCACCGTGTCCAAGTGCACCGCTCCCCCGCGAAAGATAAACGAGTACGATCGACGAATAATTATTCGTAAAGTTAAACAAAATCCACGTATAAGTGCGAAACAAATTGCTACAGAGCTTAAAAACAACAATGGCACAAATGTTTCTTCTAGTACAGTGCGTAATTACTTACGAAGTAGTGAATATCACGGTAGAGTTGCTCGTAAAAAGTATTTCGTGAGTGAAGTTAATCGTAAGAAGCGATTAGAATTCGTCAAGCAACACATTAACACTTCAATGGAATATTGGAACAAAGTAATTTTTACGAACGAAAGTAAATTCGAAATATTTGGCACCAAAAGACGTTTCAGAGTATGGAGAAAAAAAAATACAGAGTATAACAAAGAAAATTTACGACCCACAGTGAAGCACGGCGGAGGTTTTGTATTAGTTTGGGGCTGCATGAGTGCAGTTGGAGTGGGATCTCTACATTTCATTGACATAATTATGGATTATACCGTTTATATCGACATCTTAAAAAAGCACCTCCACTCTAGTGCAAACAAAATGGGTCTTAAAGATAATTTTATATTCACACATGATAACGATCCAAAGCATTCTGCACATAACGCTAGACTATGGATTTTATATAATACACCAAAATATTTGAAGACACCGCCACAATCACCAGATGTCAATCCCATAGAGCATCTATGGGATTATCTGCAAGAAAAAATTCGTACTCACGAAATAACATCAAAAGAAAGTTTGAAAGCCGCTCTGCTAGAAGAATGGAATAAAATACCGCCTACTATAACATCAAATTTAGTAAATTCAATACCACGAAGACTCGAATCTATTATAAAGGCGAAAGGAAATCCCACAAATTATTAAAACTTTAAATATGTAGTTTATTTTCATTTAGTTTATTAATTTTTGTGTCACTGTACGAATACTTTCTACGCGTCAATTTCTGCACATTTGTCTGTTTTTGTTAATACTTTTGTAAACGTTGAAGATAATAAAATTTTCTTTACACAAAATCTATTCTACAAACATCAAAAAATATTTATTTATCATTTTCTTGAGATAAAATTTATAATTGACATAAATATACAATGTTTAATTTAAAATTGATCGATGTACGAATATTTTCTACACCAACTGTACCTAATTAATGCTCAATCTCGCGGATATTAATTTGTTGATTCATGTAAACCATAAGAAATTAAAAGTTCGTTTATCTTCTTCATTTTGCCGTCGCAGCGTCGTCGCAGCCAATATTTTTCTTTATCGAATATTTTTTTCTATGAAAGGAATAGCAGAAATGTCAGGGTAATGAACATTAGAATAACGATACAAGAGGCTTGTCGATAATAAACATTCCACTAAAATTATGTGACGATACAACTCGGCATCATCACTACAACTGGCTCGACCGAACACCAGTCGGGCCGTGCACCGGCGCGTTTCGCCACCTTAAACGCCGCAAGGTCAAACGATAACGTGTAAAGATGTAAATAACGCGACAGCGATTAAGCGACGTGATCAATCGAGAGCGCGCGCCGCTGTCACGCGACGATCACGTGCGTAAAGAGCGGATTAAGACAAAGCAGATCCGACTATATAATCAGCGGCTCCGAGATAATTGAGACCAGACCTATCCGAACCGTCTACCGAACTCGATGCTGTACAGCGGAGAGGATTACGACCGACTAGTTTCTGTCATCCGCACCTACCTAGTTTCCTATCCTCGCGAGCAAGGACCAAAGCCTGTACGTTAGCTGCGTTTTGTTGATCTTTATCGACTCTTGCTCGCATCTCGTCGACTCCACGAACAAGGACCGAAGCCAGTACGTTAGCTGTGCTCTATCAAGCTTTCTCGACCCTTGTTCATAACCTCTCGACGATTGAGACCGAGAGCGAATACGCCGACATCTCGACTACTCACTCCCAATCTTGACACCTGCGAAGCGGGTGTACTAACGAGTACGTCTCCACCGCGAGCGCGAAGACAGCGTGCCGTGCTGCGACACGGGCACATCACCGCCGACACCGTGCGATTCCCGCGACCGGCCGCTCTACCGAAGCGCGAATCACGAACGCCGTGTCGTGCCCGTGTTGCCAGGACATGAAAAGAGTTCGAGATCGGTGATGCGGGCGCGGCAGGGTGTGTGGCGGTGGATAAAAAGTAGTGAGACTTTAGGACTACCTCTTGTAGTTTTTAAATATAAAAAGGTTTATTCAATAAGTACACTTGTACGTGTTTTACTTACTACTCCCGTACTTATGATTAATGTGCGAACCGCGCGGAAGTCGCGTATGACGCGTATGTTACGGCGAGAGACCGAGATGTTAAGTCTTCTCCGCTCTTTTATAATATTGTTTTAGGTTTGTCGGAGGGGGTGCCTGGCGACAAGCACATTACCATATTTGGTAATGGTGTGATGCATTTTGTTTGTGACGCTGGTGTCACCTTGTAAGGAAGGCTCGTTCGCCAAGGCGGATGTAATAATGAGGACTCTCTTTGTTATAACAAATGCCGTTTATTGTTGTCTCAGATGAAATTAGCTGTGAGGCGGGCGATAGGCGATACGCGCGATATAATAATCGATGCACTTGTTCCAAGGCGTGTCTCGGTATCTTACACTTTGCTCTACGTTAAGAAGGTCTCGCTGCTAATACCGAAAAAAAGGTATCTGGCTAGCAAACGAGACTTCTATTGCGGTATTGGTCGCGCCTATTCAACCGAAAGAAAACAACAAGCCTTTCGGGAAGCGGATTTCGGTAATTTATCGTGGCGAGACAAAGACGATATCCAACGATAACCACGTTGTTTTTTCTCGCGTCGCGTGACTCGTTCTCACACGGCACGAAGAAATATTATTGTTGATATCAACATCGCGGTTCGTACAGAAGAGATATACGCGTGTTTTGAACGGTATCGATGTGCGATTGCTTTGTTGTCCTGGAGAATATTTACTTGACGATGATTCCGAAACATACCGCCCGTCTCGAATGCTAGCATTCGAAATAGTTAGCCTGAAAGTACGCGGAATACAATCACGATATAACGACGCAAAAAAAAAAAAAGAAAAGAAAAGAGTTTGGCTACTAAATACAGAAATCGTGACACAATACGAAGAGAAAAAAAAAAATTAAAATTAAGGCTTACGATATCGATGATGTCCGTTATTCTAAACGGACATTCCGCCCGCCGTGACGGAATCCTTCGAATCCTCGGTATTAATCGTGACAGGTAGAAAACAGTTTCGCTATCGGTCGCTTATATTCCGAACAACTCGTTCTTACTGTTACGACGCGAGTTAAATTGTCCTCGCCGGGATGACAAGCGATAATTCGGCTAAGTGCCCATTGGCTCGGTGGAGCCGAAGGGTTACGCACGAGGACGATTTGGCCAACTTTGGCTAGTCGCTGGACGACGCGCCATTTTGGGCGTTGTTGAAGGGTATGCAAGTAATCGCTCGACCATGACTTCCAAAAACTTTCGGTGATTCGTTGGACCATTTGCCAACGCGACAGTCGGTTTTCGTTCAAATCAAGCACGCTTGGTTCAGCGGGAGCGATAAGAGAAGTTCCAATTAAAAAATGACCGGGAGTCAGAGCGTGATAATCGTCGAAATTTTCAGAAACGGGAGCGATCGGACGCGAATTAAGGCACGCTTCGACTCGACAAAGGAGCGTCGACATCTCCTCGAAAGTTAGCGTGTGGAGGCCGATGCATCGTTTTAAATGATGCTTAACACTTTTAACGCCGGCCTCCCACAGGCTACCGAAGTGAGGCGACGCAGGGGGTAGAAAGTGCCACGCGGTTCCGTCGTGAGCGAGTCGGCTGCGGAAGTTAGGATCGCGTATTGCTGCAGCATGGGCCTTTGAAAGTTGACGATCAGCGCCGTGAAATGTGGTTCCGTTGTCAGAATACATGGACGTCGGTAGTCCTCGACGAGAGACAAATCGTTGATATGCTGCGATAAAGGTAGGAGAGGTGTAGTCGCTGACGAGCTCTAAGTGCAGAGCTTTGGTCGTGAGGCATACGAACAACGCAATATAGGCCTTTTGCGATTTATGGCCTCGACCAGGCGCTGTGCGGACAACGATCGGACCTGCATAATCGACGCCGGTATGGATAAAGGCGCGAACGGTGCGGTTGACTCTTGCAGCCGGAAGGTTACCCATGAGTTCGACGGGCACGGCGGCGCGTTCACGCGTGCATGGTATACACTTGTAAAGGACGGATCGAACAGTGGCGCGAGCCCGGAGAATCCAAAATTCGTTCCGCAATGACGTGAGCGTTAATTGTGAACCGGCGTGCAACGTTCTCAGATGATGATGCTGGATAATAAGCACCAACAGCGGATGCGCGCGTAATATGATGGGATTCTTCATCGCTTCTGGTAAGCAAGCTCGACGGAGCCTTCCTCGAATTCGAATGAGTCCGTGTTCGTCCATATACGGATTAAGAACAGACAGCGGACTGCTCTTCGGCACCGATCGCTTCTGGCTAAGAGCAACGATCTCGTCACGGAACATGTCTGATTGCATGACTTTGAGCCAGTAACATTTTGCCTTCTGAATTTCGTCGGGAAGCAAAGTCGCGGAGGTCTGTGGTGGGTGTGTAGAGCGTCGGATTCGACTGAGAAATCGGTACAGGTAAGCGGTAATGCGTAGCAGTTGTGGCCACGAAGAGTAACGCGACGCGAGATCCCAATTGCACGTAGCATGCAAGACATATTTCGATGGTTCCGGGCGTTGTTCGAGCGGAACATCAGCGGATATCGGAGGGCACGAGTTCGGCCAAGAGTCGGAAGAGTGGTGTAGCCATGGAGGGCCTGACCACCATAAGGCATGATTTTCTAACAGATCAGGAGCGAGACCGCGTGACGCGCAGTCCGCGGGATTGGTGTGCGTCGGAACGTGTCGCCATGAGACTCCAGGGAGGAGAGACTGCACAGCCGAAACACGATTAGCGACAAAGGTTTTCCATCGATAAGGGGATTGATTGAGCCAGGCGAGGGTGATGGTGGAGTCCGTCCAGCAGTGGCACTCGAGATTCGGGAGTTGGAGCGCTGCTCGTGCGAAATGCATCAAGCGCGCGAGGAGCAACGCAGCGGATAACTCCAATCGTGGGATGCTTATCGTTTTAAGAGGAGCCACTTTTGATTTGGCAGCGAGAAGAGAGACGGTGATTAAGCCGTCTACGTTGACGGTGCGCAGATATACGGTCGCTGCGAAGGCTGCAGTTGAGGCGTCGGAAAACCCATGAAGGGCACAATGTAGCGTATGAGAGCCGTAAGTTGTCCAGCGCGGAATGCTAATGGCGTTGAGACATGGAAGTCGTTGATGGTAATCAGACCAGTAGTCAAGAAGTTGGCTGGGAATTTCATCATCCCACTGACATTGGAGAGACCACAATTGCTGCATAAAAATTTTTGCGGTAATACTGATGGGAGTAGCCCATCCTAAGGGATCGAAAAACTTGGCGATGGTCGACAAAATGGTTCGTTTTGTGCGGCCAGGCGTGTTCGGTACGGTTACGCGGAATTGAAAGATATCTAGCTTTGGATTCCAAAGTATGCCTAAAATCTTGAGATGCTCGTCGTCTTGAAGCACCTTGTGCGTAGCTAATCCATGATCCGCGGGATCGAGATCGGACAATAACGAGGGGGCGTTGCTTGCCCACTTGCGAAGGCGAAAGCCTCCTTTCTTTAATAATTCTATTAAGTGGTCGCGGGTCTGACGAGCAAGAATATGGTCATCTGCGCCGAAAACACAATCGTCAACATACGTTTGATGACGTAAGACGGGAACAGCGAGCGGAAATTCGGCCCCGTCATCTTCGACGAGCTGAGCTAGAACTCGAAGGGCTAAGTATGGAGCGGCTGCTGTACCATAGGTAACGGTGAGGAGACGGTAATCCGTTATGGGTTCACCTGGGGTTATTTGCCACACAATACGTTGGTAGTCGATATCTCGGGAATCAACTAGGATTTGCCGATACATCTTTGCGATGTCAGCGGCAAATACGTAGCGATATTGACGCCACTGCATTAAGACAGAGGCTAAATCCTTTTGAAGCTTAGGACCGACTAGCATATGGTCGTTCAACGACGTCCCGTTTGACGTGCGACATGACGCATTGAAGACTACTCGTAAGCGGGTTGTTGCACTGCTGTCACGTAAGACAGCGTGATGCGGAATATAACAAGTTTGCCCTGGGTTGACAATTTCTGTCGGTGGGCATTTACTCATGTGACCGAGGGTTTCGTACTCTGCGAGAAATTCGCGGTACTCGGAAGCGTTGAGTGGGTCTTGACTTAGGCGTTGTTCCAAGCGTCGGAAGCTTGAAACAGCAATCGAACGCGATTCGCCGATCGAGATTGGTGGCTCGGTTTTAAAAGGCAATCGAACTATATAGCGTCCTTCCGGTGTACGAGAATGAGTAGCTTTAAAGTGCTCGTCGCACTAGTGTTCCTCAGGGCTCCATGGAGCTTGCTGAGGCACTTCCTCAATTTCCCAGAAGCGACGGAGATCGCAATCGAGATTTTCAAAAACGACTCCATGATGCGCGAGAACGGAGACTGAGTTGGAATGCGGCACCGAAGCTATCGGTCCAGACAGGATCCAGCCGAGAGTGGTATTTTGCGCGGTAGGCTCATGTTCGGAACCCTTTCGCACACCGTCGAGAACGAGCTTGCCGAAGAGATCGGCACCGATAATGAGATCGATTGGATCCGAACTCATGGGATCATGATCCGCAAGTTCGAGTCCTGCGACGTGTTTCCAATTATACGCGATCTCGACTCGATTCGGTAAATACTTCGTTAGAGATGGAAGTATAAAGGCGGTAGTGATATAAGCAGGTCCGTCGCGACACGCCGGAGTAATGGTCATTTGGGTCGCATGACGCACGACAGATCGCATTTCGCTAATACCGGTGAGAGAAACAAAGCGATTAATTCTTGCGAGGCGTAGTCGTTGCGCAAGTGACTCCGAGATGAATGTAGAGACGGATCCTTGATCAAGAAGCGCGCGCGCGGTAACGAAACGGTTTTGCGGCGAATAAACTCGCACGCGTGCTGTCGCGAGTAAAATGTTGGAGCTTGGCGCTACGGTTTTCGACAATAAATGTGTAGCGACAGCGTTGACGCTCTCGCTATTCGAAGGTGCGGATGTCGACGGCATCGGAGCATCGACCGGTCGAGCAGAATTGTCGAAATGCAGCAACGTGTGATGCAGTTTGCCACACTGCCGACAAGTGCGAAGACTCGTACAATCTTTGACGGAATGCTTTGCAGCAAAACAGTTGATACAGCGTTTCTGATTTTTAATAAATTCAAACCGTTGGGATGGAGTTTGCTTTAGGAACTTAGAACATTGATACAGCAAATGGTTCGCGTTGCATAATGCGCATGAAAACGGAGTGGTAGTCGCGGTGTGCAAGGCGAAAGTTCTCTTCTTGGAGGTCGGCGGTGACTTCTCCGATGCGTTCGCGGGTGCAATCGCGTCGAACGCGCGAATGCGCGATGCAAGGAACTGATCAATTTCGCGATAACGCGGATAATCTACGGTATCGTCGAGTTTAAGTTCCCAAGCTTTTCGCGATGACTTGTCGAGTTTTTGTGACACGAAAAACACAAGCCAATCATCCCAATGTTCGGTAGCGCGACCGAGGTTGCTTAGAGCTTGTATCGCTTTATTTGTTTGATCGCGAAGCGTGCGTAAATCTTTGGAAGTCTCTGTCGTGAGCGACGGTAAATTGAAGAGCGAGTTTAAATGTATCGTGATAAGGCGACGTTTCTTGTCGTACCGGGAAACGAGAATATTCCACGCTATATTGAAATTATTATTCGTTACTGCGAGGTGGTCTAGAGCGTTACTTGCATTCCTCTTTACACAGGAACATATTAGGACCTTAACTTAGTTTCCGCCCAAAAAATACTGAGAAAAAGCATTTATTGTAAAAAATTTATTTAAATTATTTCAATGAAAGTATTTTCCATCACTTTCTACAACTTTTTGCCATCTTTCTGGCAACTGGGCGATACCATCTCGATAAAACGATGTTTGTTTCGAAGCAATCCATTCGTCCACCCATTCTCGCACTTCTTCAACATTTCGGAAGCGTGTACCACTCAA